GTCCTTTTCTTTCTCACATTTAGTCATTTTTATTCAGAAATATGAATATATATTTATTTATAAACGCAACCTTCATGACATCAGCTTCAAAAGGCATGAAAAGCAGAGTTATAGTACAGTCTGACTCACCACAATTTGTGCATAAATGAAAACAGATGAGCATGGTTTCCTTTTTGTAGACAATGTTTTGTTATTTATCAACCAAAGTTTTCTTTGCAAGAGTTCACTTAAGCTCTCTCTCTGCACCGACTTTTCCTAAAACCACAAAGAAACGGCTGGAAATGAATGAAGTCCATTTTGTTTTCTGCTTCATGAAAAGATGTGTGTGTGTGAGTGTGTATGTGAGTGTGAATGTGTGTGTGGGGTCTGCTCAGATTAAAGTCAGAAAGCCTTAAGATCAAAGCCTTTGTGGAGCACAAATCTGATCTGTCACTGGAAAAGCCACCACTTTTTTCTTCCATCTCAGAGATAAGAGAAAAGTCACTCATCCATAATTTTTTCTCTGTCACTTAGTCAAGTTATAACAACCATTATAATAAAGGTGCCATTGAAGCGGGATAAGTGCACTACCATCATGATGACACCTCGCTGCAGTTCTTTTGCATTTAGTCGAGGAAAACCAACAGGAAACCTCAAACTGCAAATTGTTCTAATATTGTCAAGGAAATGGATTTCACGTCCATTAAATAAAAGCACATTTACTTTACTTGAATTGGAGTGTGCTAAATGAAGAAAACATATTTGCCTTAAATTGAAAACAAGGTGATAACCAAACAGAACAACCCTCCTACTGCAAATATTGAGAAGTGAATTAGTTAGATATTTATACATTTGCTCACTCTGAAAGCCTTTTAGATTTATCAGGTTTTCTAGCAAAGCTACTGGGTGACCAGGATTCACAATTTGTGTAATATCTTATATACATTTGTATTGCCTAGATTTAGAAGTTATGTTGAGTAAATGCTATTCTGCTTACAATTAATGAATCTGGGTGGTTATGCAGTGGTTTGCATTGTCACCTTAAAGAAAGATAGTCCTTTGGTTAACCTGCCGGACTTCTGTTGGAAGTTTGCACGGTCTCATCTGGCTTCTTCTCCATCCACACCGGTTAAGTTAGTTGTCAACTCTAATTTTCCCATAGGTGTGAATATGGGGAGTCAATGTTCGTCTGTCTCTTAGATGCGACCCTGTGATTGTCCAATTTCCTTTCTCTACTCCAAGTTTAGGATAGTTGTTTACAGATGATGGATGGATGTTATAGGGCTTCAATAGGAGCACATGTTCATAGAAAAATCGGGAGAAGGAAATGTTATGTGTAAAGCATGTCATTGGTCCACTTCTTTGGTCCTAACCCAAATTACTTGAGCATTTATGTTTGATGGTTTTTAACACATTTTTGTATTATAGTTAATTGCACAATGATAACATTCATAAAAAACACCATAATAATAGCAGAACGTATCAAAATGTAATTGAAGTGCTGTGAAATTGGTGAAAGCTATGTTGATTTAGTGGCATATGACTGTATTCACACGCAGCTGCAGTTCTTCCACTCTAGCACAGCATGACACCGTTGTTGCACACTAGATGACAACCACTGACAGGTCGCTTTTGAAACTGGTTTAGCACTGGTGACTGCCGATCCTCGTAGGAGAGCTAGCAGGGATTATCTTATCTCAACACACAGGATTTCTTTACACTGCGTCGCTGTGCTAGCTCTTGCTAGTGCTGTCTTGTTGCTACTTCGTAACTCGATCAGCCTTTCAAATTCAAATCATCTAAAAGGTTAAATGGTTTCGGAAGTTTTTACGGCTTGATTCAGTTTTTCTCTTTTTCTTTGCCTCTTTTTAAACTTGAAAGGCTTTCACACAGCACCCCTTATTGGTGTGACAGTGATGAATGTACATGGACTTGTTTGCTCTGTAATACTTCCACGGATGAAACCAAGCTTTAAAGCAAAACATTCGATTTTAGGATTTGTATCTTTTGACTAACTTCAGTATTTAGAGTTATGACTGAGTTCAGCCCTATGCTTGCAACATGTTGTTGAACATAATGTAGAGCCTGTGTATACAACACATGTTTAAAAGCTAATAATAGCCCGGTAACAACTGAAATCTACAGAGCATTGTTCCATCAGGCTAATGAGCATGGCCCACTAATGGCAGATCAATGATTACAGATGATTAGTGTTTCGCTGTGCCGGCTATGACTCCACTGTCTGTCTGTTGAAGCTGCTTGCTAACTTGAAGTCACTCCCTGAAGGACTGGAAGTTAAATGATGGAGGCCTGCAACAGCTGGAGCTGTGGATTTACGGGCTTAGAGGGTGTGATTGTGTCTGGCTCCAGGTCGTCTACAGCTTTAGTCAGGTCCTCCAGCCCTCGGAGGACGGCTGATGGAGCACCGACTCATTACCAGCCATGTGGATTTAGTCTCGTTAAGGGACCCTAATGGATAGATTTATCTCATTACATCTGGCACTTCATTAGATACAAATACTGTAGGACAAAGGCATGTGGTCCCTTCAAAAATGGACACATCCACACACACACAGACCACATGATCTACTTGTATTCTTCTCAAGCTGTCATTCTTTAAGCCAGTGTAATTACCCTGACCAACATACTCGCAGATTGTATTTATAATATAACCCAGTGAAACAAACTCCCGAATGAGCCTGTCAGGAAAAATGAATACAGAGATGTAGTTAATCAACTTTCCCAGGTCCCTTAATTTTCCACTATTCATCATGTATGAGCTAACTGCTAACTGTTCAAGGGTTTGATGTTGACCATTTTTGCCCATATTTACTATCTTATCTGATCATGACAGCATGCTAATATTTAGTAATTTGATAAGGAGAATAACAACATGTTCATTACTTTTGTAGGTATTTAGTTATATTACTAAGTATTACACTATAGGAAATGTTGACCCGATGATGGTGCTAAACAAAGTTAAGTTATTGAAATTCATCCTAAAGGTACAATTAATGGCTACACCAAATGTCATGCCCATCCATCCAATAGTTGTTCAAACATCTCACTTTCAAGTATAGTTATACCACCAAGTATCCATTGACTGTCCAATATTGCAATCCTAGAGCCACGCTCCTAGTGTAAATATAAAGTTATGCATTTAAAATATATAATGCATATCCATTTTGCATAATCCTGTCTGCATATGTGGTGGCTCACCTCAAGGTTGAAACAAATTCCACCCTATAGCAGTTGGTCATTGGGTTGATGACTCAAACATATTGGAATTTTTCAGTGGCAAACTCTTTATGGTTCAATACTAAAGAAGTAAGATCCTGCGCCTTTCATTAATAACTCTTGCACTTCTCCTCACCAGTGTCTCTTGTGAAAGAACGCATGACAAAGACAGCCTCAGGGCCCTCTTACGAACCTGGATCTTTTCCAGTTTTTTGTATTAGTATCAGCATTTCACAGCAGTCCAGAATGGTGCCCTCTTTGCAGCTCTGTTTTGATTAATCAAAAGCCAGTGAGAAGAATGAGGAGTTCTAAAGATGGTGGTGTTCTGGAGAAATATGAGTTTACGTGTTGAATGAATCAATAGCAGTTACAAGTAACGTGCTCTTGTTAGCCTGCAAATCAACAACACGAGAAGCAGTTTAGTTTAGAACTGTGATTTTTTTTATTTTCAAATGTTGCTTGACAGAAACCTTTGGCTGGTGAAAGTGTCTTTGTAACAAGCCTCTTTTTATGAGCCTGTTTCCATGACAGAGTTGTACTGGAGCACCTTTGAAATACAATAGAGCTATATTTAAACCACAATTGAGGCTGTTACTGTTAATTCAACCAGAAAGTATAATGCCAAAAACAGCTATTTGCAGTCATGTGTGGCAAAGCACAATAATAACATGTACGAAAATAATAAATAAAAAGGCAGTGATATCTCAATCACATTAGCCTTTGAATGAGCCACTGTAAAAATGGCTAACTTAAAACTGTGCATATTTGTTTTACATTTAGGTACACACTGGTGATTTTTTGGAGGTGTGTGTAAAAAATATAGCATTTGTGTGTTATTCCAAAATAATATTTGAATATTAAGATGTATAATAAATAGATTTTTGCTCCATAATTGGATCAACTCAATTAAATGTTTATGCTTCTTTTTAGTTTTTTCTCCACACATATTGTTACCAGGTAGTTTGCAGAATGAGTTTATAAAGTTTAGAGCTGGTTCTACCTCCACTAGCTTCACCCTGAAATGACTGTTAGCTGTTTATACCTTTACTGTTTATACTTGTTTGTACTACCTACCTTTACTGAAGTGAGCTTTTGGATGCACCTTTTTTAAGATTTGTATATGTTAGTATTGCTACATGTTTTAACTACAGTAGCGATGACCATTAGGATTTCTATAGTATTTATGCAACGCCTGCATATTTATTTTCTTATTTTGCCGATAACTTATTTTCACTTGAGACATGGCATGCAATTATTTTTGTCAGATCATTAAAAACACATACCCGTCTTTGTGAAAGGTATAATTAATGTTATTTTCCCAACCGTTCTGGGAGAGAAACGTTATGGATTGTTTTGAGTGGAGTTGTGCCTACGAAATTGCTAAGTGTATGTTTTGGGAATCTCAGGCTGTCCGAAGAGTCTATAATTTGTGTTTATACTCCTCAAAGTGACAGATGCACTTTAATTGCAAATTAAAGTAATTTGGTGTTCTGTGTCTTTATCTGTTGACAGGATTTTCTTAGATTGTTGTGAGTGTTCATCAAGTGTGTGCTCTATTGCAACTTCGTAAATGACCTTTATTTATTTTTACCGTTATGCCGCACATTGTTTACCCTCCAAACATCAAACAGTAAAAATGAACAATTATTAATATATTCAACACATGCGGTTCAGCATTACAGACAAGGACTGCATTTACATGTTCAAATAATCAGTTTATTATTTTTACATCTAATCAAAAATAAAACAGCAGGAAAAAAAATCACAAATGTTCTGACCCTATGTCATAATGATGATATCGATTTAATTAACAGTTTTATATATAAGAGTGTACAGCGTCATATCTTCACATTTGAGTATAATTGTTGATTTATTTTTCGATTATTTTCTTATCAATAACTAACAACACATCACAATTCTACATCACTGGTACATAAAGTGTCATTGCTTTTTTCACCATTGAATGAAGTTCCTTTGCTCCCATAAAAAAAACAACAACACATACATACATGTAACTGAAATAAAGAAAAGTGAATTTTGTGTTACCAACAATAAACAAAATTAAGAAAGTATTGACTTTTCTCAGTAACCAGTTGATTATTTCACACCATAGCAGAAATATTTGATGTTTTATAAAGTGAATAGAAGGTCTGGCTGATTTCAACTAGAGGAAATACCATTTTGTGCCCTTCAATAAAGTTGAATAACCCCTTTTTAACCTTATAACATTGATTGGTGTAAAAAAAAAAGCCAGAGTCCTTCAACTTATTTGTACATTTTCTGTGCTGATTTATTTTCCATTGGTGGCTGTATTATGTCAGTCACAGCCTGATTTAATCTCATGAGGTGTGTTACATCATGGAAAAATAATATTTTGTGAACACAGTAATAGTTATTTCCACCAACTTTATGTATTTACCTTATCCATCACTCCTGACATGTGGTACAGTACTTCAAGCAGAACAGATGCTATACACTATTTGTAAACACTACGTTACCCATCTTTAATACTTTGGCAGACATAGTATGTAATTAAAATCAATAAAAATAACAATGAAATAATGGACAGTTGATTGAGATTCACTGCATGTTGACCGATGGAGATCTACAGCAGTATGTGTGACAGGCAACACATAGTGACACACGGCACTGACACTGATGGATGAGAGAAAGAAAATGAACCACCAGAGTTTTCAGGACAGAAACATTTCAGTGCTCTATGATCTCTCCCCGAATCCTTCGCCCTGTCTCTTTTTTTCTTTCACAAAATCCAGAAACAAAGCTCATCTGCTGTGTTTGACAGGAGTGATGATCAAGGGCGCTGGATTTTTGAAGTCGTCATTACTACAGGGGCTGAAGAACGGAAAGAGCTTCTCTGTGAAGTTACATCCGGTGTAGGAGAAGATGCAAGCCCTGGTGTCCACATCATAGAAGAGAACTTGACTCACCTCGTAATCAACAAACACCCCGATCTTTTGAGGCGTCTCCCTCACCTTGAGGCTAACAGAAGGGCCGGCATTGGCTGTTAACTCATTTCCTTTCCTCAGCCAAATAGTCCAGTATCCATTTTTGGGGCTCAATCGTATATCTCCCTTCCTGTTGATAGACTGGCTCGCCACTCCTAAATCCCAGTTTGTTTTGCCTTTAACCTGGACCTCATAGTAGAATTTTCCTGAGGAGAAACCCTCCTTTGCAAGGACATTTAGAACGTGTTCAAACCTCTCTGGTTTGTTTGGGAGGTTCCTCTTTCTGTCTCCATACTTGACTTGTTTCCCATCTGGTGAAACATGTAGAAAAGGGTTTGCTGTGTCAGGATCCAGAGTCACATCCACAGCCTGACGTTGCATTTCTTTCAAGTCTGGATCGCACAGCATCCTTATTTCTCTCATCACGGTTGCCTCCAGCATGGCCGTGGCTCCCTGCAGCGAAAACTCGTCATTGCTAAAAGTCACATCTGACCAGTTATTAACCGGGGGCTGAGTGATTGTAAGAGACAGGACATTCTCAAGGAACGTCATTGAGTCGTTGGAAAGTGAAACCTGATCAAGCTTCAACTTTCTTTGCTTTAATTGCATAATGTCTGCCTCCAGCTCTTTAATGAAGCCTTTTCTCTCGGTTTCAATTTGTTTCTGCTTTGTCTCAATGACCTGAGTGAGCTCTGCTTGACTTCTCTTAATGTAGTCCACCACAGCAGTCATCGAATGCACGCTGTATGACAGGGCCTTCGAAGCATTTTTTGCGCTAGCATCCACTGAGTGTTCGATCTCACACAGTTTCTGCTGACGTGCCTGGATCATCTCATCCGTGCATTCCCTTTCTATTTTCAGGGTGATCTTCCTCATTTGTGCCTCCTCTTTCAGACTCACTGTCTTGTGCTTTCTGTGGTCGCTGTTTTTACAGGACTCGCATACTAACATTTTATCAACCCTGCAAAAGAACTCCAAAGGCTCGTCATGCGTCTTGCACATCCTGCTCTCTGGGTTCTCAACCGGGTCGATCAGCTTGTGTTTTTTCATGGCCGCAATTCTCTGATGAGGCTCCAGATGTGTTTCACAGTAAGACATGAAACAAACTAAGCAGGTCTTGATTGCTGCGAGCTTCGCCCCTGTGCACAGGCCACAGAGCACGTTTCCATTTTCTGCTTTTTCAGGAGTTTCACAAGGCCTTTCTTCAAAGGATTCCTTGAACTTTGCAGCCATCCCAGCAATGAAAGTGTTAACTCGAAGCATCGGCCTGGTTAAGAATTTCTCCATACACAGTGGACATTGGAATATGTTATTGTTAGTGTCCCAGTAGTCGTTGATGCAGTTAAGACAGAAGTTGTGCCCACAGGGAATCGTCACAGGTTTTTTGAACAGGTCCAGACAGATTGAACAACAGAAATTATCCTCAGAACTTGCAGCAGAAGCCATGTCTAGAAGGTATATGGTGAAATAAATGGGGAAAAAGTTGGATAAGTCACATTTTACACCAAAGATAAGTGTTACCTTAATAAATTACAACTTTACCTGGTGTTTGAAGGGTTTCCCAAATCTTTCAGATCGGTTAAGGACAGTTAAAACACAACAACAAACGTCTCTGTTCCTGCTAGTTTCTCTTTCAGCAGTGACGTCAGAGAAGCAGTCCCCTCCTATTTCCTGATCCAACAAGTTAACCCATTACATGCTGTAATTCCTCATTGACCCAGGTTTAGAGCTTTTTTTGTCTTCCTGATCCAGTAGAGCTTAGTTACATTAGAGATGCATAATTTGTCCCTGATCTCAACTTCAAAGGCTTGTACACCGCTATATGAGCAGTGAATTCTGTCAGGTGTGCATCATTTATATTATTCTTTGCACTCGGTTACTTTATTGTTGATGTATTCACAATGTTAGTGCTTCACAAATCCCTTTCATGTACAGTATCATGCACAAACCTGAGACAGCACAACATGCTACATTTTCAATGGGTTTGTTGGCAGGCATGTTTGCATTACACGAGAGTGCTTAGTGGTGGCATCTGCATAATAAACTGTAAATACTCTCATCTTGGGCTTTCTCCTCTCACAAGACACGGCTTCGAACACAATAGTTTCCTTGCATATTTGAAGGGCTTTGTCACGGCTGAAATAATCTATGTAGGATGCGTATATAGGTCTCTGTGCATTAGCAGCATTCATGGATGATTGAATGCGTTTCCTTTGCTGCATTCGGTTTATACTATGTAGGTGTGAGCATGTGAAAATGTGCTGATGGTTGATCAAATAAAATAAAAAGATGTGAACGATGCATTGTGCTTTAACCTTTCAGTGACACAAATGAATTAGCCTGCATGCAGTTTGGTTTGTCAGTTACACTGGATGTGTCTGTTTAAATATGTGTCTGTGGGCGATTGTATCAGTTAATCAACAGTCTTGTATTTGCTGGAGTCTTTACTGTGTAAATGTGAACAGCCTGCACCAGCTGTTAATGAATTCAGTGACTGACAATATCAAGACACAATGTAAAGGGAACAGGCTTTTGAAAATTCAATCATACGGCTGTAAGGAATGTATATTTGTTCAGTATGTTAAATTATCTATACAGTTTATCTGCTCACAAAAAAAAGCTCCCAAGAGTGACATTCTCATCTGAAAATGACAGGCTGCCTCTGATCATAACTCTCTTGAGCCACATCTTATCCAATAACCTCAATATCTTGTCCATAAAACATTCATAAGACATTCAGATCAGATGGGGATTCCCTTTTGATCCTGGTCTGTGTGGAGCTCCAGTACCTGAACCTTTCTTCTCCTGTACAGGATCTGCTGTTCGGTTCATGACAGGATGAGAGTCAGGGCTTTTCGCCTCCTTATTTTTTCTTCTTCTCAATTTCTTTCTTCTTTCAACCAGAGCTTTCTCCCCCTATCCATCTCTGTTCTCTGACCCGTTCTGCTCCTACTTGTAGCTGCTTCTCTCTCACCTTGAATACATGAATAAGAGATTAGGGGCTCAAAGTGCTAGAGGACACAGACCTTCCTCTATTAGAATGTAATGCCTCCTGCTAGCGGTCTGCTCAGTTTTAAATTGAGGCTGATTCTACATCAAAGCCTGGCCATCCTATTGCCCAAGAGACACACTGTGGTGGACAAAAGGGTAAACGGTATCATTAGAAAACTTCACCATCATCAGCAAAAGAAAATTATTATTCCTGTAATTCTTTTAAACAACTATCAACGATCTTATCTCCTCCATTTTAAGGTGCCCTGTGGAGTTTTCTTGTAAGAAAACAATATTTCTGTTCAGTTACTCACCATAAGTCATTATGTATACCCTTCGGCTCTATAAACACATGCCGAGTGCCTTCCTCATTAAACATTTGCAATTGGGTTTTATTGGATCCTGAAGTATAGGCTTCAATTATGTTTTAATACAAGGCTGACATGCCATATGTTCATTATAATAGCTAGTCATTCCTTCCATACTGCCTGTGAAGTATTACGTTGGAAAGGAACTACACTGCAATACAATCCAAGAACAATCCTCTTCCTGTGCAAACCTGCTGAAGTTCTTTTAATAATGTGTAAGGTTTCAACAGCCAGTAAAATCTGGTTGGTATCTACATCCTGGCAGTGTGTTATTACTAGTGTGACTTAAAGACATTCCAACCCACGCTCAGCAAGGAAACACATGTTGTACTAAAATGACTGTAATTTGGAAGGTATAATCTCAATTTGGCTGACCCTTTTGAACGACTAAAAATAAGGAAATTAGATTTAGGCCCCGGCTCCACGAGGACAAATACGGCAAAACGCATCGGAGTAACGCAAATGCAACCGCAAAAAACCTTCCGTCCCCACGCAATATACACCGGATTGTGTCAAGCTCCACGAGACGGCTCCGTTTACATCCAAACGCTGAAAAAGCTGCAGTACATATGCCGAACCTGTACGTGGCGCTGTAACTTCCTCCACAAAAGCAGCAACTTCCTCCACAAAAGCAGCGAAGAAGAATGGTTGTCATGGCTGCACTTCTGTGTATTCTCCGCGGTGGGGGCCGACAGAACCGGGCAGAGTTTTTCGCCGGTCAGCGTGTGTTAAAGTTTAAATCTTCCGGACAAAATTATAAAAGTGCCGGTCAAAGGTCTTCATTGTTATTTATTGAGCTTTAAAACAAATGAATAACGACGATATAATGATATATAATCATCAAATACATCTCTTTTTCCTCTCTTCTGACAGCGTCAGTGTCTGTCTCATGCAGCAGCTGATCCTGTAATGAGTGACCCGACAGTAAAAATGAACATATTTATAACTAGTTTAGGTAGTTTGAGAGGTAATTAAAATAGCTAAGGGTGATGATCTGACTTGAAGTGTGTGTTTTGCTCCCGCTGCATCACAGCGGCAGGAGCTGCGTGTCTCCGTCCTGTCAGATTAGACTTCACTCGCGTTTATGTCCATATCGAGATAAAGATAAATAATCTGAATTCAAGGAGGAGCTCCTGTAGATGTTGCACAAAGAACTGTAGCATGGTCAGTAGCGACTGGAGCACGATAGCAACCCCGCGGGGGAGAGGCAGGGAGAGGCGGGGCTATGAAAACGAATGACCGTATAGGCGACTCCACGGCCCCGTTGGACCCCCCAGAGCGCTCAGTTCCCAGATCTATCCACCTTTGGACCCGTTGTCGTTTGCGGGGTCTGTTTCTACGTTTCCCTTACGGCGTCGTGGAGCTTAGAGGGCTATACGCATGAGAAATATGCGGATTCAACCAGTTTCCGTCCTCGTGGAGCCGGGGCCTTAGTCTTTATCAGACTTCATCAGCCCCGTTTCCCTTCCCACACACACCTGAGATCTTCAGGAATGTCTTTGGTGGGACCTTCTTTTAGCTCAGTAGTCAGGGCTGGATACTGTGTGATAAATTGGATTAATCATACAGTATGTGTTGGGCAGCAAAAGTATAATCTGTAAGCAATCAATAACTCATTTAATTTACAGTGACATGTTTTGCTTTACTATAATCTAGTCCAAAACCCAAGGTTCACAACTGATTATTAGTTAGTCAAAATTCTAGAAGCTAGAGCTCGAGAAAGTTTGATATTTTTGTCTGAAAGATTTAATGAAAGTTATATTACGATAATTAAAAAGAGTGTGTGCTTCTGAACCGGCAACATTTCACTTTTTCGTGTAAGCATTAAGAAGGTTCAACCTTGAATTTTTGTAATGTACATTTCTATTAGCAATATTTTTGTCTTGTGTGGAAGCATTTCAAACAGCATGGATTACAATACCGTGCATTTCAACAAATTATGTCTTAGTTCCTAATGTTTTGAGTGACAGCCCTAATTGGCGACAAAGGTGTTTTAGAGTCCAAAAGCAAAGAATTTCACATGTGTCCTTTTGTGGCCAAAAGAGCCCCACTATCAATGATAATATAGGTTAATACAGACAGGAAAGGGGGAGAGACAGCGAACGATGTGCAGCATGGGCAACAAACATCCCGGATTTAAACCAAGGCCACTACAGGAAGGACTTGGTTCATTGGTCACTCACTCTTAAAAAAGTGATTTAAGAAATACACACAAACACAGGAGGGTAGAAATATAACCTGCCAGAGCGTGTCTGTTGGCTGTATGTATGGCAGCCATGCTCTACAGTGTTGTGAGGAAGACTCACTCACCTCCATCATTCTAGTTTGTTTACTACCTGGTCAGAGCAGAGGATTGTGCTTTTTCCAACCCTCAAGACACAACAGTTCTGGAGGGAAAATAAATAATTAGTCATGAGATGAGTTTCTCCCGTAATCCATCAGCCTGCGGAGCATGGCTGCCATAGGAGAAGTGAAGCCAGATGAGAGTCCTCTGCCTCCAGTGTTTTTGTTCCCCAGACACTAAGCTTTAGATTTACCCCCTTGATGGGATGACTTTGAAGCAGTCAAAAGCTTGAAAGGACGACTCTATCTCTGTCAGGGTGTTTGTGGATTAAGAGCAGCCCCCCCCCCCCCTCCGATGCTCTTGTTAAAAGCAATGCTTTTAGCATCGGAAAGAGGGAGCAGAGATACCACCTTTTTCATCGAAAATTGCCTGGCAAAATTGAAACACTGAACCTGAGTTGCAAGTCAATTCAAAGTATCTTGTTTGAGGCAATTCATGCCATTAGAGTCTCAAACCGTAACATTACAACGTTTCTTTACCCAGGTCGTTACTCTTTGTATTAAGTATTTCGACAATAAGGTGGAACGTTTTAAGACTTTGTAAAATCATTTGAGGAGATGGATATTTGTGACAATCTGTTGAGATTTTTTTTCTTTTTTTCTTGTTGGCACAAAAGCAAACAGAGACCCAAGGCATCAGACTCTCCGAAACAGAAGAAAATCCGCAACATTAAGTGACATATTAAAAAATAAATACAGATTCTCACACCCGATTGATTCTCAAAAAGCCTGTGAGTAGAGGAATGTCTTTGGTAGGACCATCTTTTATACGTTGAAGTGTGAGAAAGCCCTTTTGAAATGTATCAGTGCTACTCTGCCGCATAGAAATCAAACCGGACATATTCTTGAACCTTAAGTGGTGCCTGGAGATTTAAAGGATGAGAAAGCTTATTTACAAATGTAAAGGCTGTTGAGCTGATTTATCTAAGCTCGTATTCA